ATTTCTCATTACCCTATTCTGATTTGACTGGTAACAAATTAAAATTAATTTTTTTCCCCAAGTCGAGGCTGTTTTGCCCGTGACGGTAACTGGCAAGTGATCTCTTCCTTTCCTTATCTCGACCCACAAGCCTTTCGTTGTATTTTCTCTCCCCTGCCCAGTTAAAGAGGGGAGTGATAGAGCGGCTTTGGTGGGCACGGGGTGTCCAGCCAGGATAAACCCACCACACCCCGTGCAAAGCTATCAGTAATCCTTCCCGGAGGTTAACGGCGGGAGGCAAGTAGGTTGAGACATTTATAAAAGGAGACTGAAAAGCAGAATCAACAGCAGAGTTGGCCTTTTAGCCAGCGTTCGCTTTCAGCAGCTACATTATCAGATGAGAATGAGAGAGGTGTGAGTGAAGCCTGGGGAGGAAGGAGAGGGGAGAACTGTGAAAAGAGAAGACAAAAACCTACCTGACAGGCGCTCCCCGCGACTGAGCGGGCTTCAGCATAACGGTGATGGTAGTGTCAGTCTCGTTCAGGGGGGAGTCCGTGTCGTATTCCGGCATCGACGGTGCTACAGCAGAACAAAGAGCAACACGTTAGCTACATATCAGTAACTGCCTTTGGTAGTGATGGCAACGTAATATTAACGTTTCCTGGAGGCTGTTTAACATTTCTTAAATGAAACATCAAAATAGTACCCGATATTACAACCAAAATGGTCAAAACCACTGAAGTATTTGTACACTATTTTCCTACTAAAATTAAACAGGAATCGGACACAGAAATCTTCACACTGGTTTTGATAATTCTGTTTTGAATTTTTAAGAGAAGGGATCATTCTTTCAATTTTAAAAGTGAAGAAAGAAAACTGCACGGACATTGTAAAACACCACTTAGGATGAGTGAATCGGTGGCAGAGCTAAGAATAGCACCCAGGAAACCTGGGTCTTGTTCACTGTTCTGGTCACTGGATTAGATCTCCCACATCTTAGTTTTTAATACATAGACTTAAGCAGTGTCTCCTTGATTAGGTGGAGGGTGCTTTATGAGGCACAAAAGATGAAAAGAGAGGAGCACAAATTAGCCAGGTTATTTTAGCACTCGAACCCATGACATTTTACCCCAGCGCTGCAGTGATGTTGAATCAACAGGCAGCTGCACGGCTTCCAACTGCGTACTCCGGCAGTACCCAGCCAGGGTACCCCCATCGCTTCGCTGACGTGTTCGCCAAAGCAATATAGAAAACCACTGAATATTCACAGTTAGCCAGTATTTAGTTTCTACTTCTGCTTTGTTACCTTCTATTGGGATCATTTCATGAAAGTAGGACAGCTTTCCTTAGGAAACGTATTTTACTTCTTCCTTCCCCAATAGCAGACACCTGTTTGGGACAACTTTTATGGGGAAGAACTGAAGAGATCATGAGATCAGAGCAGCACCAAATTTATTCCAAAGATGCAAGTGTCGTTGAAATATCTTTGAAGTGTAAAGCAAACAGAAGAATTCACACAAATAGTTCATCTGTAACTCACAAAGGCAAGATGCATTGCGGGGGATCCCGTATTTAATCCTCTCATAGTGATTTCCACTGTAATCCTGTTTACCATCAGGATTTTTATCTAAATGCCTGAAAACTGTCAAGAATGGCTGTTGCTATTATCAGCTCAGCTACTGACTTCCCTGTCAATAAGCTGGCAATGAGTTCAGAATGAATGCCAATTCCTTAACGAGGATTTCTCTGAAAAAGGTGCTCTGCACCAAGGGGAAGCAGGGCGAGTCACTTAAAGAAGATGAATGTCACCGGCGGTCTTCTATCGCAGAGATCACCGTAGCTGCTGGAGACGCCACAGCAAGAGCCGTTCAGCACCTGCTCTGGCCGGAGGGGACGGTGCTACAGCACAGGGCAGTACCACAGAAAGGCTGCAAGGCCAGCGCGGGCACCAGAACCAGGCTGGGCTCTGCCTTCGCAGGCTCCATCGTCCTGCTTTGAAGCAGCTGCATCCACCTGCAGCGCTGCACTGGTGCAACTAAGTTGTTTCTGCTACGTTAGCTAGCTCAGATGTCTCCTCCTGGCTGTGTGTGAGACCTGCTTAGTTATCTTCTGTGTGAAGCACTGCACCTGCCACAGAGAGTTTACAATCTTACTTTCAGACACCGTACACTTAAAGAAGTAAATGCAAGAAACATAGGTCTTGGAAAGACTAGCTAACGGTATTGAGTACAGTTCAGCGATCAGAGTCTATTAGTCACAAGACACTGCAATAAGATATAGTAGTTTTCTTGTGTACTCAGTACGGAACAGTTGTGTAGTACCTCAGTGAAATTACAATTGGCAGTGATGCCTCTAAAATAGCAAGCACTGCTCATCAATTTAATGCCTATTTTGCAAGGTCCCAGTCGCGCCCAGGTACCATTTCTTGAGACTAGACATTGAAAATACAAGGACAGATGCTACTTCAATATCTCTAGTGAGCGATTCTGTATTTGGATGTTGTCAAAGAGAAGTCCTCACGAGTTCTGCCATTTAATTGCGATTAAGAAATAAACAATGTGTCCACCCATATAAACATACACACTCACACACTGCTACAGCACAGATGTCTTTTCATTCTAAAATAGATATAGTCTTACAAGGACATTCCAGTCAATGCAAAAATCCTTCTTCTCCCTACCAACCTTGGGGCTGCCTCTTAGAGTAAGTTTAACAGTAATTTCCAAATTACATGCATAGAACTGACCATGCAATGAGATAATCTAATGTCAGAGATTACTCTAATGCCTGCATGGAATCTGTGCCTACCTGTTGCAAACCAGATGTTTGGAAGATGGAAAAAAAGACAAGACAGTAAACGGAGCACAGTGTGCATACAGTTAATAATCAAGCAGGCTTCTAACACAATTTGAGCACTCCATGAATAATGGAGGCACAAAACCAGAATAAGAGGGGAAAAGGCACTACCGTTACTGTGCTATCCTATTTCTCTGGTCACAAGCGAATAGAGTGCATGCCGTGCCTTCCCTTCGCGGCAGGGCTGCACAGACCCTAACAGTCCGTGGACCCGTTACAACAGTTAATGGCTTTACTTCAAGTGGCTGAGACACGGGCTTTTGCACTAGATGTTAAGGGTTCGAACCCTGCTGGCGGTTAGTGGAGGGAATGGGTACATTTTACCTCCTTAAAATTTACGCTGTCACTTACTGCTAGCAACTTATTTTTATTAACCAATTTTGAAACAAGGCAATGGAAAATATGCACTGTTGTGCACTCTTTTCTACAGCGCCCAGCCATAATTTCAAGCACTACAAGTGTCCTGAATGTCCCAAACATTTATTTCAGCTTTACTGAAAAAACAGTTAAGGTATTCCAAAAAGTGACAGTTTTAAACTCTGTTAGAGAACCTATTTTACGGTTAGCAATTAAATATTAAAGTCTGCCCAATATCAGCTCTACCATCCCTTTATCCAGCTTTTTTTCTCACAGTTAGCCTAAGTTTCCTTTTTTTTTTCCTAGAGACACATGTACCTTCTCTCTGTAATGCCTCCTGATTTTACTGCCTTTCATACACCTGTCTGCCTACCTCAAGCCCTCCCTCTGCCCTTACTCAGACAGAAAACATAAAAACAGCTTTCCTCCTTTATTTTTCATCTCCTTGCACTATTAATTCAATTACTTCATTACATCCATTTTGGTGCATTCTGAAAATAAAAGCCACATCATTGAAGGAACTTCCCCAACCACACAGATAATGCTAACAATTATTAGAGGGATAGCTAATCTGTAGAACTAATGAAGGTTCTCATTTAAGATGCTCCACAAAGATCTACATGGATATTTAAGACATCCACAAATTAACCACTGCACTTGTAACAAACACAGATGCTGGATTGTGGTATCTTTAAAAATTTGCCCTATGAAACTTGTAGAGGAGATACTAAGCTGAATACCTTCTTATACTTTCATGCATCAGCTGTAGGTCTAAAGAACAAAGCCCTAGAAAGTTCTTTTTTCTTCTTCTCCAAAGCAGTACCTGAAATCTTAGTTGCAATCCGTGTTGTGATGGGTGGCCCAAAGCCCTTGACTGTGCTGGCTTTGATGGTGAATGAATACGTAGTCCCTGGGTATAATCCTACAAAGAGGTGATGTGTTTCATTCCTTAGTTTGAAGACCTTCCCTCTTTGGCTGGACAGGTCAGCACTGGGATCCAGAGACCCAACGGCCTTGTATGTAATCTGCAAATGAAGAACAAGGAAAGTAAGGTGATAAGGGGCCTTCTGCACCTGGCCATTCTCTGCTCCCCTATTCTGCCATTTCTTGAGACTAAACATTGAAAATACAAGGACAGACACTACTTCAATATCTCTAGTGAGCGGTTCTGTATTTGGATGCTGTCAAACAGACATGACAATTTTTCCAAGGCTTTACTCAGGAAAAAACTAATTTCTTCTCTCTGCTGAAACCTCAGCATGTGCTGATTTACAACAAAAGATGCAAAAACCTGCTTTTTGTTCTGAACCTCAGAACTTCTGCAGCCAAACCAGAGCACACAGCACAACTGGCAGAATTTTCATGAGAATTTCCCACACAATCCTCCACAGCATACGAAAACTTTTGGTGCAAACATGGATACATTTTCCATCAAGTATTTCTTCCTTCTGATAAATGGTCTTCTCAAAAGGCAGCTGAAAACAATGGGAGCCTTTTACCGATAACAAAGGTTTTGGAAGTCTTCTCCTGTGCTGAAGAGAATACACCAAAACGAAATAGCATGTTTAAATGAAATAAATATCATGAAGTCTTTAGACAAAAGCCCTTCTCTTCTCTGAGCTTGTAAGCCAGCTTCTGATATCATTTCCCTCCCCCTGTTTTTAGCCTCAGTTTGCAGGTTTACATGTGGTACCATGCCTGGGTTTTGCCTGAGAGAATAAGTCAGCGGGGTTACAGACCTGGAGAGCCGTTCATGAATACACCCGCTGCTGGTGCGAACACAGCTTTAGAGGACTCCAAGCTGAAAGCATACCTTTGAAATTCTGCTCGAGCTCCATTATGCTTACCCGTGGCAACCCTGTTGATATACAGACACTTGCAAGTAAAACTCATGACTTATTTACCAGCCAATTCCTTGCCTGTGTTCCAAATTCAATCCAAAGGCAGCTCAATTTCAACTGAGCTGTCAATATAATATAACGTGCTCCACTGCTCTCCTAACCTTTCCTGATATTATGGGATCCTCGCTTTTTTGTAATGAAACACTATGAATAAATCAATGTATGTTAATAACAAGAAGTCTTCAATTTTTTATGAAGGACTCCACAAGAATCTAATTCCCAGCTTTGCTGAAAGAGCTTTTGAAAATTTTTAAGTTGCCTGCTTTATGACAGGAGGAAAATGTTGCATTTTGAGGGAAAAAAAAAATTACAATGTTTAAAAAGGAGGGCTTTACTAAAAACAGGATAAATAAGAGACAGAGACTGATGCTACTGACACCAGAGAAGGGTGTGAGCATGTGAATCCTATTATTTGAACAGAGAAGAACAATTTAGACAGAGCTGACACCCAAGATGAGGCAGCATAGCAGAGAAGGGCCACGAATTACACCAGGCCCACAGAGCAGCAAAACATTACAAAAGCAGAACTGAAAGGAATCATAACTAAAGAGCTTGCAGGTGATTTCATTGAAAACCTACTAATTTTTCCAGGAATTATAACCAGGTTTTAAATTTGTATTATTTACCAGAAACCCGAGAAAGAGAGAGATCCTAACACACCTGTCATTAAAACAAACAAAAAAAAAAAGCAGGGAGAAGAAATCTTTACACTCGCTCCTTTTCCTTAGGTAAGGTGAGGACCATGCAATGCAGCATGGCACGGGACAATATTTTGATGGTTCTTATTGCATCAAGCTGTTTCAAAGGCAATGGAATCTGTGTAAAAACACCATCAGAGTTAGAGTGAGCATCAAAGACCTTAAATTAAGAGACATGACCCAGTCAATGCCATAGCCAAATACAGAAAGAAAAATGTATTTAATGTTAGGTAGGAATGAAGCGATGCAATCGGTATGCTCTATTTGCAAATCAAGTGCTAGAGAAATAGTAATTCTATAAAATACCAAAGAGGAATTAGCAAAATAGGAGTTTGAGAAAAAGAGAGGGAGCTTCCTACTGCTGGGCCACTGAAAACTACATTCAGAGGATGCCTAGGTAGTAGCCTATGCGAAATCAGTGGTATTTATTTTCAAGGATATTATACAGAAGGCTATAAACATAAGTGGAAGATGCACTTGTCCTTGATCTCCATAGAAATATTCAACTACCTTACTCAGTTCTAAAATTGCTACAAAAAGAGTTATTTTTCTTCATTAAAAAAACTATCCCCTAAGGCAAATAGAGCTAGGAAAGCTTTCAAGAGAGGGAAAAAAAAAAGCTAACTGATTTAAAAAAAAAAACCAAACACAACAGTCCTCCTTTTTTTCTGTTGACTATAGCAGAGAATATGAGTGCAAGGGACTTAAAACAACCTGGGTCAACTCATAAGAGAGGACGGAGAAAACTATGTTTGGGAGAGAGTACATCCACGATTTCCGATGATAGTATGGGTCAATTTTCAGAAAGACTGCTCACTCAAATCAGACTTCACTATGCCCCAAAACTTTTTTTTTTTTCCATGACATATAATCTACAATAAAGAGAGATTTGTGGCATAGCCAAATTGTGAGATTATTGTTTCTGCGGCAGACTTTCTATTCCAATAGATATGAACCCTGTTAAGACCAGGTGATGTGCAGACATTTAGAGAAAGCAAGCCTTGTCCCCAAAACATTACATTCGATACATGAACAGTATGTGGATACAAGCCAGAGAATAGGAAAACAATAGTCCAAAATTGGGCACGTGGTCCAGCTTCATTCGGTCCATAAGCAGAAATATTTAAGGGACTGGTAAGCGTCCTAGTGCCTGCAGGTACAGCTGGTTACCAGTTTATTGCTCTCGTTAGTCTTGAACTCTTCTCTACTTTCCACGAGAAGAGCTCGGAAAGACTGAAGCGGCGAGGGAAGCACCTGCGGACACGGCCGGGAGAGCCTGCAGGCTGCGAGCCCACCTCTGCCGACGACTTTCATCACGACGATGATAAGCTTTTGCCATTTATAACATGAGGGCTATTACGCTCCTCTACACAAACGTTTTTGTGGCTGAGGGATTCTATGGATGTCTGTAATCGCCGAGTGCTGATGGTTAAGCAGCAAAACCACAGGTGAAACAGATGACGAATCCCTGAAAACAGAGCACTCTCTTTGGGAAAGGAGGCAATGTCTCTTCCAGCTCCGCGGAAAGAAAAAAAAAAAAAGAATAATTTTTCTCTTCCAAGTGAGATATCTGCTGTTTCTTAGATATTAGAGCTACGCCAAGTGTGGATTAACATCTGAGAGCTCTGTCTCAGTTTATTCCTCTGCGGGCCTCCCAGTATAGCTAAAGCAGCTGCGCCTTCAGCTACAGTTACGGCTGCCCTCGCCCCCAGAGCCTCCCGCAGCGCTGGTCGGCTGCTCCCTGCTGACCCGCACGCATCCATACTGTTCAAGCCATAGGCTCCCCATCCAGCTCTGCAACCTTTCTCATAGCCAGGGTCACCTCCGTTTACTGAAGTTGTTGGTATTTCCTCCCTGGAATATCTGAAAAGAGCTATACCGCATGCCTTTGTGTGTATGCATGTCTCTGTGTCAGAAGGTATCGCCTATAGAAAGAAAAGATGCTGTAACGTATCACTTATATGTTGGTTTTCATGTATAAATGTATCATGTATCAAATTAGAACCAGATGAAATGAAGACGCTATGAAGCTGCCACTCTTCTCCTTAATCGATTTAAGGTAAAATGTTTGAAGCAAGAGAAATTTCAGGGAACAAGACACTGAAAAAATTTCAAGAAGAAAACTGTAGAAATTTCCAACTCTGGAGTAATTTATAAATGCACAGAAACATGTCTGGAGAAGAAATATGGCACTTTCCTGGAATAAGAAGGATGCTGAAAAAAACACCTGCTCTTCTAGTTGATATGCTGAGTATTTATCTTAATTTCTTGTTCCAAGTGTCAAACCATTTCATTATAAAACAAACAAGAGATTCTAATCTAGAAAATGAGATGACTCAATCACTGGAAAGCAGCTGTTCTAAATTATTTTAAAATAATCTATTTTAAAGACAAGCCATATAACACTTCTGTATTCTGAAAAAAGAAGCAGCAATAATATTAATTTAAACATTTAAAAACCTAGACATAAAAACAAACAAGAAAATACTCAAAAATATATTTAAGAATTTCACTCTGAAAATATTTGGTTTTATTCTGATGCAGAATAAATGCAAATACAAAGATGATGAAATTTCTCACAAGACTGAAATTCTATGTTTTTTAACCAGCTTCCAGGTTATCTCCCACACAGCAGGCAGCTGTCACAAGTTGAAAGTTGTCTTTCCTCTGCAAACTGGAACGGCTGTCCAGAGTAGAGGACATGTAATGTAGAGTTTACATATCGGCTCCAGGGCAACTTGATGGTCCCAAGGAAACACTTTAGTGGCCAACACCGCTATGGTTCTAATCACAGCAAAAAACAGAGCAGGCTGAAATACAGCAAAATCAAGAAACATACAGTAATAAATCCTAAATCTTCCTTGGAACCTCCTTCACTGAATGAATGAAATGGTTCTCAAATTGAAGCGAGAACAGCAGCAGACTTGAAGTAATCAGAAAGTCAGATGGCAAAGGAACTCAGAAGGATAAAGAATAGCCACGTTCGCCCAGAACAGGAGGGACGAAACAGCCCAACATCCACCCGCCTGGACAGGAATGATTTACTTGGAAGGTGCACAGATGATTCAAATCCCTGGTCAACTGTGTAAACTTTGGCTACATGAGTCCAAATTCTTTGTAAAATGTAGAACAGGTCAACCATACAAGTTCAAGTCTACTGGAAACTACCAAAAAGGCTTTATATATTTAATTTCCAAGTGTTCCGTGATATATAATTGCTGAGATAGACTACAGAGAGTAAAATAAGAACAGGTCAGTGTAAGAAATGAGACGGTTAGCGAGTTCACTCCATATTGTCATTTAAGCAGACATCCAATCTACGCCAGTGCATTCTCAGTCCCCACTAACCCGAAGCACCCCCTCTTATTCCATCCTTCCCTCTGTTTCTTATCCATGTTAAAAGTTCAGAGTATTAACTCCGTGAAATCACTGAACAAATACTACGTTAACAAACACAAAGATGAAGATACAATATTGAAAGTATCACCACAGCTCTTCTCTCTTTCACAGTACCTAACTGAACACAGTTTTCTAGGGAAATGTGAATCCTTTGCTAACGGTCATCATCTGTGACTGTAAAACTTCTATTACAATATGAGCACTTACAAAACTTTCATGGTGAAGGGAAAGACAGAAGTGTTAACTGGGAAGCACAAGGCTATTTTCCACTGCAAATCTTTCTTCAGAAGAAAACACATAGTAAATTAAAAAACCCAAACACGCTTAACCCCACAAGTGCAGGGGCAACTATATATGTCCACACAAGCAAAAGGAGATTGTGGTACTGGAATATGTTACAGTATATATTATATTATATATATATTTAATATACATATAAAATACATACAATAACATATTATACATTCGTATAAGATATATTATGTTTCATCAGTCATATCTTGAATATGCCTGTTCAGCCTAAAGTATCAGTCATGGACCAGGGCACAAAACTCCGCAAGGACTTCACGATCTGCTCAAGAAGTTGACTCAACGTTCAGCGGTTCACTCTCCACTTCAGCAGCTCCCCTGCGTCCAGCGCCCAGGAGCTCACTGGATCTCTACACCATGCTTAGCAAATAGAAATAACATAAGTCTGGTGAATTTTATTCCATCTTTGCATGGTGGAGGCAGAGGGGGCTTTGTCCCGTGCTTTTTTAAATAGAAATATCAGTAACCGCAGTTGAAAACTGGAGGTTAAAAAAAAAAATCCCTGTAGAAAAGAGGGTATATATTGTTAAAAATGTCGTAATTAAACAGTGAAACGGACCGTCAAGTGATGTGATAAATTACTCGTCAGGTTTAGACATTCCTTTAGAAGAATGTATTATGGCACTATCATAAGACCCTAAGTTTAATATAAGAACAAATTGTGATGAAGAGCTCATCACTTCATTGTAATGGTCCTTCTTGCCCTCTGCTGCTAAAATCCTTTGGGAACCCTGGATGGCTATTCAGATTCTTTTTAATCCACTTAAATAAATAAATTAACAAGACAGAATATTCTGCTCAAATCACAGCTGATGTATCCATTTAGCCTTCCCATACATTTCATACATTTGAGTAAGCTTTCACACTGATGAATAACTGAGTTGTCAGGATTTCATGTGTTCATAACCTTAAAACTGAGGGTAGCAAACTCTAATGTCTCTGGATTGAGAGCTTGCCAGTCAAGGCAAAAAAAAAAATGCTCATATGTTTCTTCCCACAGCAGTTGATCCCAGTATACACTGCATTTTATCTTATCTCTGTTGTCATATAGAATTAATCAACCACGGCGAGCAGAATTTGTTCTCTACAACCATATTCACCATCAAACATTAGGACTTCAAGCTTCCCCTCTGATTTTAGCAATTGCAGCCTGTTTCAATGCAAATGGTAAGTACTGCTGTTAAATCAAACACTACTTTGTAGATACATTATGCAACCTTCTATGTATTTTCCATTTCAGTGACAGCCTGCATAGCAGTTTGGGGAAGGCAGCTGAAACTTATAAATCCATTACATTATCCCCTAACATTCCTATTGACATTTTATGTCCCTATCTTTATAAAACAGCTCATTCTGCCTCTCCACACCCCTCATACAGCCCCTAAAGTCTTGGGATGCTTTGGAGTTCACAAGTAGCAGCAATTTTTTTTTTTTTTTTTTTTTTTTAAATTTTCATTTAGTAAAGCCCCAAGACT